ATGATTTGAAAAGTGATATTTACACAGTTTCCATGTACATTATCATTTGTCTGCCAAGATGGTACTTAACTGTTTATTGCCCTGTGTATGTAGTGTGTTTGTGTGAATTATTCCCAGCGCTATGACTTGAGTACTTGAGGTAAGATTGAACCTGAGATGGACTTGTTCTGGTTTCAGAAACCTTAACTATATATAGCAGTGTTTAAAACTCCCAAAATTCCAAGCCAGACAGCCGGACTGGTAACTTTGAAAAATTACCAGTCTGGATACAAACTTGCCTTTTCAACAATGAAAACAAAAATCAGGTTTCTGAATACTTTACTGTTTGCAAGCATCGCAATGAACAACATAGCACTAACAGGCATGAATGCACTGAGTTTAGGTAAGCTGAAAGTACATGCGTTGTGATTGGTTATTGTAAAATGAACTGTCCAATCATAAATAGTTTAACATAGTTATCATAATACCTTAAACACCTCAAACTGGCGACAAGAGAACCTGTCTCATATTATGAAATATTTACTGTTAGGGGTAAAAACATCTACCAGACCACTGGACAGGCTACTTTTGAAATTTGACCATCAGAGATGAAAATCGACCATTCCAGGCGGTCCAGGCGGTCCGGTCAGGCGGGAATGTATACTGCTGTATACAGAGAGCTGTAATGGTCCAGAGTATGGGATTAAGGGGGACTGATTTGGCTACACAGAAATCTGACCTGGGCTCTGGACGAGTAACGCAGATATGATGTACATAATATAGAATGTCGGCACCAGAGAATAACTGATCTCTTTTATCTGCTGATTCCAGTGGGGCCAAAAAGGCAATTAGTGATGACACCAGGTGTTCTGGTGCAAAGTAAGCATGTCCTTCCCCGTCACCCCATCACCACTCACCCTTCCCTGTCACCCCATCACCACCCACCCCTTCCTGTCACCCCATCACCACTCACCCTTCCTCGTCACCCCATCACCACTCACCCTTCCCCCACCCTGTCACCCCATCACCACTCCCCTTCCCCTGTCACCCCATCACCACTCACCCACCCCCATTCCCCTGTCACCCCATCACCCCACACCTTCCTGTCACCCCATCACTCCACACACCCTTCCCTGTCACCCCATCACCACTCACCCTTCCCTGTCATCCCATCACCTCTCACCCCCTCCCCTGTCACCCCCCCTGTCAAATCCCATCACACTCCCCTTCCCCTGTCACCCCATCACCACTCACCCTTCCCTGTCACCCCATCACCACTTCACCCCATTCCACCTGTCACCCCATCACCACTCACCCTTCCCTGTCACCCCATCACCACTCACCCACCCTGTCACCCTCACCACCTCCCCCTGTCACCCCCCATCACCACACCCTTCCCTGTCACCCCATCACCACTCAATTCCCCTGTCACCCCATCACCACTCCCCTTCCCTGTCACCCCCCATCACCACCTCACCCTTCCCCTGTCACCCCATCACCACTCACACCCTTCCCTGTCACCCCATCACCACATCATTTGATTCCCTGTCACCCCATCACCACCTCACCCTTCCATCTGATTCACGACGATCGACGACGATTAATTTCGACGACGATTTGATTTGATTTTGATTCGATGACTTCCTGATTTTATGACGACGAAAGACGATTTGATTTTCCGGATGACATCTGACATCGACGACGAAATTCCGATCTACGATATTCGATACGGATTTGACGATTAATTCGATTGATTTGACGACTTGACGACGATTTATCGACGATTCTGACGATTGATTTGACGATCGACACGACGATTTCGAGATAATTCGATGATGACGGAAATTTGATGACGGATGATTTGATTTGATTTGATGACGACGACGATGATTTGATGATCGACGAATGAATCGACTTCTGATTTGACGATGATCGACGATTCGATGACGGAATATTTTGATACGACGGATTAATTTACGATGACATTTTGAAAGACGGATGACGGAAATATTTTGATTTGATGACTTTACCTGATGAAAGACTTCGACACGATGATTTGATTCTGATTTGATTCGACGATTTTGAAGATTTTGACGATGGATTTGATTTGATGACGATATTTGATTGATGATGACGACGATATTTGATTTAATTACCTTTAATTTGATTGATTTGATGAAAGATCCACGACGACGACGATTTGATGATTTGGAAGACGATATTTGATGATCCGACGATCGATTCTGATGACGGATTACGGACGATTTGATGATTCGACACGACGATTTTACGATTTGACACGACGATTTGACGATGATTTGATGATGACGGAAGACGGATGACGATTTGATTTACGACGATTTGATTTGATGATGACGATGATTTCGATTTTTGATGACGGAAGACGATGATTAATGATTTGATGATTTAATTTTGATTTATTTGATGATATTTGATTTTCGAAAGACGGATTATTTGATGGAGATTTTGATGACGATATTTGACGATTTACGATTGATTTGATATTTTGAGATTATTTACGACGACGATTTGACGGATTTACTTTGATGAACGATTATTCGATGATGATATTTTCACGATTAATTTCGAGACGCTTTGAGATTTTGATGATGATGATTTTGAAAGATTGATTATTTTATTTCGATTATTTTGAAATTTTGATTATTGATTATTTGATTTTGATGATGATTCCTGATTTCGAAAGATTTGATTTGATGATTAATTTGATTTTGAAAGATTGATTTGATGATGATTTTGATGATGATTTTGATGAAATATTTCCGGATATTTTTTGAGATTTTGATTGAAGATTTGATGATTTTGATGATTTGAAGATGATTTGATTTTTGATTTCGATGATTTTGATTTGATGATGATTTTGAAGCATTTTACGCATTTTGAAGATTTGATGACGAGATTTGATTTGAGATTTTAAAGATTGATATTTAATGCTTTCCGATTTTGGATTTTGATTGAGATGCTTTTTGAAGATTTGATGATGATTTCGATGATGATTTTTCTGAAGCATTTTGACATTTTGAGATTTTGAAATATCTGATGATGAAGATTTGATATCGAGCATTTTTGATATTTGATGCAAGATGATTTTGAAAGATTTGACCACCTTCACCCTTCCCTGTCACCCCATCACCACTCACCCCTCCCTGTCACCCCATCACCACTCACCCCTTCCCTGTCACCCCATCACCACTCACCCTCCCCTGTCACCCCATCACCACTCACTCCCTCCCTGCTGTCACCCCATCACCACTCACACCCTTCCCTGTCACCCCATCACCACTCACCCCTCCCCTGTCACCCCATCACCACTCACCCTCCCTGTCACCCCATCACCACTCACCCCTCCCCTGTCACCCACCACTCCACCCCTCACCCCATCACCCCTCACCCTCCTGTCACCCCATCACCCCACACCCTTCCCTGTCACCCCATCACCCACACACCCTTCCCTGTCACCCCATCACCACTCACCCTCCCCCTGTCACCCCATCACCACTACCCTCCCCCTGTCACACCATCACCCCTACACCCCTCCTCTGTCACCCCATCACCACTTCACCCTTCCCTGTCACCCCATCACCCTCTCACCCTGATTCACCCTGTCACCCCATCACCACTCACCCTCCTCCCCCGTCACCCCATCACTCCCTCCTGTCACACACCTCACCCCTCCCCCTGTCACCCCCATCACCACTCTCACCCTTCCCCTGTCACCCCATCACCACTCACACCCTCCCCTCTGTCACCCCATCACCACTCACCCCTCCCCTGTCCACCCCATCACCACTCTCACCCTCCCCCTGTCACCCCATCACCACTCACCCCTCCCTTCTGTCACCCCATCACCCCCACACCCCTTCCCCTTCACACCCCATCACCATCACTCACCCTCCCCTCCACACCCCATCACCCCACACCCTTCCCTGTCACCCCATCACCACTCACCCTTCCCCTGTCACCCCATCACCACTCACCCTCCCTTCCCTGTCACCCCATCACCACTCACCCTTCCCTGTCACCCTGTCACCACTCACCCTCCCTGTGTCACCCCATCCACCACTCACACCCTTCCCTGTGTCACCCCATCACCACTCACCCTTCCCCTGTCACCCCATCACCACTCACCCTCCCCCCATCACACCCCATCACCCCACACACCCTTCCCCTGTCACCCCATCACCCACTCCCTGTCCCCTTCCCACTGTCACCCCATCACCACTCACCCACTCCCCTCCCCTGTCACCCCATCACCCCACACCCTTCCCTGTCACCCCATCACCACTCACCCTTCCCTGTCACCCCATCACCACTCACCCTTCCCTGTCACCCCATCACCACTCACCCTTCCCTGTCACCCCATCACCACTCACCCCTCCCCGTCACCCCACACCCTTCCCTGTCACCCCATCACCACTCACCCTTCCCTGTCACCCCATCACCGCTCACTCAGCTTGTATGAAAACATAATGTGGATTTGTTGCTGGACGCAACTCACAAGTCCTCCTGATATAATATTGTCGGGAACCATATTTTAACACATTCACTGCTTTTGTTTAAACTGATATGTTAATTTTGATTTACATCTGTGTACAAGTGTAGAGATTCTGCTACATATAATATAATTACAAAATTATGGAAATCTGTTCATTCTGCAACACTGTGTAGGGTGGAAGATATTTTTACTTGCCTCTTCCAAAAACATTTCTTTTGTAGTTGCCTCAGCAAAAAAGTCACAACTTGCAGTATGAATTAAAATGAATTATATAAACACACTTTTGCAATTTCAGTAGGACAAACTCTGATGCTCTAATCGACAGAAAGACTTTTACAGTTTCAGTAGAGCAGAATATAATTGTTTACAGAAGACTGACTGTGTTGCAATACTATGTTGTCTGTTGTAAAATATCCCAATATTTATTAATACCCCAGCGCTGTCACCCAATTGTGTGATAATAGTGTGTATCCCATGTCTATTCCAGGTGTGTTAACTTGAGATGTCAGTGGCGGGAATATCACAAAGTATCCAACAGGTTGAGGTTGTCAAGGCCAAGGTCAATGGAGAGTTAGAAATAAACCATAATAACAGGTACACAGTCTTGCAGTTAGTGGAGTAGGTGCAGTGTAGTTTCCAGGGTGTAGTAGAACTTCTTCAAGGCCACATAGTCATCCCAGTGATCTGCTATAGTGATCCGCCCTCCCATGGAGATACTACTGAGAGAACACATGAAAGAAGAAACTTTTAATTTCTGTTCATGAATGTTGTGTGTGTACAGGTATTGGGTTTTGGGTTCTTTAGAACACGTTTCTGGTGTCCAGTTTGAGAGGTTCTGGATTCTTTTGAAACATGGCTATCGGTTTCATAATAACAGGTTTATACGTTCAAGACTCCAGTGTGGACAAACCCCCTTCCTCTGTGCTAGCAGTGCCCACATTTCAGTTTTATGTTACTATGAATGCTGTTTATGGTAGGTGTAGAACCATTACATGGAGATCCTTTATCGTAACGGACACAGCTTTGAGAGATTTGGCTCCTTGAATGCTGTCAGGGTTTTGTATCTCCAATGAAACAGCCTTCATTGAAAGGTCTTTATAGAGTCAGTCACCTCAAGCTTGTGTTGGAAAACAGTTACAACAATAAACGCATACTTGTCGCGCCGCTCACAATACCAACGTGGAGATTCCATTAATATTTCATGTTGTACAACACAACCAGGATCCAAGTTCGCTGTGGCATGTTCGTTGAACCGTAAAAGTGAAGAATGATCCTTCTTGCCACCATTGACCAGTCAGCTCAAACTGATCCTGCTTGCCACCATTGACCAGTCAGCTTATCTAACTATGGGGCTTTGAAATATTCATTGATTCATTTATCGACTTAATCATTGATCTGTGGAGATTGACAGTCTGGCCTAATTTACAATTATTGTTGAAGATGCACAACCTGGAACTAGTTCTGGTGGTCTGATGTTGTTGTTGTTGGATCTGCCAATAACCTGCTCGTGTTTCTGAAGCTTGTGTATCATGTTATTGGGCCTCGGTGTAGGGGGCGGTTAGTGTTCAGTGGATATTTCATCTGGAATAATCATGGGAAGGTAGGATTCATCTAAGATAATTGTTTACTGAATGGTTGAAGGTAGGATATGCCTACAGAGGGGTACCTCAGGACTGTGTGTTCACCGTCTCTTGAAACTGTTGGCTGTAAGATAATTGAGATGTGTTCCCTGACTGTGTTCAAATTTGTTACAATTTGTACGTTTACTGTTTTGTTGAAGGCAGTTTTATAATGTATATGATTATGAATTACTAAATAAGTGCATCCCATTACTGATTGTTTGTAAGGTAGAACATTCCTTTGTGCCAATCAATTACTTTTGAAATATTTTTAGTTCCTTTTTCACTTTGTCTTGAAACAGTGGACCTTTTGAGCACTTTGTAGATATTTCATAGTTTAGAAGTATGTAGGGTAATACTGAACAATATATTGAACTTAATATTGGGAGAAACAGGTTTGGATGTCTCGTTATAGAGTATTGCACTTACACTGCGAACTACATGAAAGCATGCTGTGGAATAATCCTAATCCGAGATGCCCTAAATATATCACTTCTACCACAGGATTAGTAAAGGTTAATGTTGTTGACGGAAGCGTGTGAGACTTGATAGCTGTTTAGAAGTACTGCATAACCTGGCAGATGGTTATTGAAAGTGTGTGTATATATATATATATATTAACTGTCAGATGTGCAAGCACCTGTCACAAGGGCGTGACAGCCAGCCACCATAAACACACATATATATATATATGAGAGTGAGGGAGAAACATGTTGTCAGTGTTGTTGTCTCATCAATATGCAATAAACTCTATAGCTACCAAACATGATCTATTTATTTATAGATATTATCCATTCTCAGATACATTGTTTTCTTAGGGCGTTCACTTGCAGTTTACTTTCACTCACATGACACTGTAAACCACTGTATATTTATGAGTAACTTTAAACAAGTTATTGTTTAGATTTTCTAGGATTTCTGCATGATGTGAAATTTAATATATATTTATTAGTTATACCATAATTTGTTCCAAACTATTGAGTTAACATGTTCAGTAAGCATGTAACTGTAGAGTATCTGTATTTGTTCCAGTGCTGTCAATATAGCAGAGAAACCAGCAGAAGAGATGTCTGTCCAAACTCAGAGTAATGGACCTGAGGGATCACGAGGTGAGAGGCCTATTCTACCATTAATGTACAAATAAAATAATATGCTGAATTCACAATGCACTAGAACTTCCAATAGTAAATTCATCCAATCATTCATCATGTGATAACTTTATTTCAAAGTCGGGGCAGTGGGGTAGCCCAGTGGTTAAAGCGTTCCCTCATCACGCTGAAGGCCTGGGTTTGATTCTCCACAAAGGTACAATGTAGGGATGACTAGACAAAGATTGGGATCAGTGACACTTTGTAGAAGTGTTGAAAATGGTTGATGTGTAGATAAACAAATAATACTTAGAAGCAGAGCCTTGATACAGTATAGGAAGTGTGTTCTGCATCTACTTTGATTGGAAGCAGAGCCTTGATACAGTATATGAAGTGTGTTCTGCATCAACTTTGATTGGAAGCAGAGCCTTGCTGCATCAACTGTTGATTGGAAGCAGAGCCTTGATACAGTATATGAAGTGTGTTCTGCATTTACTTTGATTGGAAGCAGAGCCTTGATACAGTATATGAAGTGTGTTCTGCATTTACTTTGATTGGAAGCAGAGCCTTGATACAGTATAGGAAGTGTGTTCTGCATCAACTTTGATTGGAAGCAGAGCCTTGATACAGTATATGAAGTGTGTTCTGCATCAACTTTGATTGGAAGCAGAGCCTTGATACAGTATATGAAGTGTGTTCTGCATCTACTTTGATTGGAAGCAGAGCCTTGATACAGTATATGAAGTGTGTTCTGCATCAACTTTGATTGGAAGCAGAGCCTTGATACAGTATATGAAGTGTGTTCTGCATCTACTTTGATTGGAAGCAGAGCCTTGATACAGTGTATGAAGTGTGTTCTGCATCAACTTTGATTGGAAGCAGAGCCTTGATACAGTAAAGGAAGTGTCTTCTGCATCAACTTTGATTGGAAGCAGAGCCTTGATACAGTATATGAAGTGTGTTCTGCATCAACTTTGATTGGAAGCAGAGCCTTGATACAGTATAGGAAGTGTGTTCTGCATCAACTTTGATTGGAAGCAGAGCCTTGATACAGTATATGAAGTGTGTTCTGCATCTACTTTGATTGGAAGCAGAGCCTTGATACAGTATATGAAGTGTGTTCTGCATCTACTTTGATTGGAAGCAGAGCCTTGATACAGTATATGAAGTGTGTTCTGCATCTACTTTGATTGCATCGGGGTGTCACGGCCTTTAGTCTTGACCTGTTCACTCAAGAAGTATTGATGATTGATAAGAAAATGGATCCTAACTATGAATTACCTATGCAGACCTGCACTTCATCAGCTTAATGCTGAATATGAATTTGACTTATCTGTTGAATGTTTACTATTTTCAACCTTCTCATTGTCCATCTCGAGCATGGTAATCTCCGTTATCTGTGACCAGTTCTGTGGTAGTGAATTAGATTCAGATCGGATTGTAATACATTGTAATCAGCAGGTTAGTCAACAGACTGGAACTGCAGCACGCAATGACATATGTAGTTGCACAATTGTGAACTGCCTCAGGCTTTCGCACAGTAAAGTTTTTGTAGGATCTTTCAAGTGTAGTATGATACTTCCACAATTACTTGCAATAACTTTAATGACTACATGGAATGGGACAATAGACAGAATTTTAAGTGATGATGAAATGACACAAAATGCAATAACATGTCAATTATATGAGTTACGATACAGAATTGTCGCTGAAATGAGTTCACTGTTTCTGTATTAAATTTGTTACAATATATGATCCACCTGTGTAATAGGTAATGGCGTAACAGGTAACCATGGAAACGATACTGTTTTAAATGGCTGTCCATCCAAAATGGAGGAGTTGAGAATTGTTTTAATTGGGAAGGGTTCATGAGCAAATTATCACACATAAAACCTGTTTGATCCGTGACCTTCATGTTTAAAACTGGAACAGTACTATGTTGGGTGCCTTACGCCACCTCTCTCTCACTCCAACCCCAAACTTATGTCTTAACAGCTTAAAATGTTTCCTTGTCTCACCGAATACACAGGTTGCTTCTCCACATAGGTACCGCCTGCCTTGATATTGCTGAAATATTGCTGATCGTAAAACCATACTCACCCATTTTGTTAATGCTTGCTCTTATGAAAACTTAAATGTTTTACCTGAAGTGTTTACCAGGAATTGACTTATTTTTTTAGACCTAAAACCATCCTTTTTAAACATTCTGTAATTCTGCAAGTACTACTGAGCTTAGCCTTGCTCCAAGGCTGTACTGAATGCTGAGCTCATGTATGTACAGTAATTCTATCCTCTAGGGAAACAATTCTAGATAAGCGGACAGTACAGTCTGAGGATGCCAGTCTGTTAGAGGATTATTTATATGTTTAGAAATTATCATTTAAACTATTATTACTTTAGAGATTTGTGCAAGTCTATACTGAACCCTGCATGTTGGGTAAAGGTATACCAGGGAAAGTGTCAGGTGTCTCCTTGTGTTGTCTCTATAGCGGAGTCTCCGCTGCCTCAGACAGATGTAACTGTCAGGTAGTTGGTACACACCATCTCAATCACTGTCCACACAGAGCCAGATAACAAAGCAAGTGTTGAGAGCTCCCCTGACCTGTACTGACCTGTGTAGTGTACTTTCAGCTAACACCCAAGTGAAACAGATAGTCAGGGGGCATCTCAAATGTAACAGGGATATAGAATACCAGTGGGTACTGTGTGGTGTTACTAGTGCCTATGAATCCATATTCAGTATTCTTTGATTTTTCTTTGGAAAATAATGAAAGTTAATCTTCAACATGACTTATCACAACAGGTCCGTATAAAGTTAATTTAAGTTTGTTTCATGCTGCCGTCAGAGGTATTTCAACTCTGTGATGGCAGTCTGTAAATAACCAGACAATCCAGTGATTGACATCATGAGCATTGCTCCAAGCATTTTGGATTTGAAACACGCATTAACCAAGTCACAATCTGACCAAAACATCCAGTTAGTCAGCTCTGACCACTCTCTTGAAGTTAAATAAAATAAATAATCTTCACAATATGTATAACAATTATTAGAAGGGATTTTATCAAAGCCTGTTCATGTTTGAATATTCCATTATTCCTTAAGGAGGTGCAGCTTGAAATATTTCTGTCAAACTGATGTAAATAGCTTCAGCTTCATCTCCTTATAGAATGTGGAATATTGCAACATGAACCGGCTTTGAGAAAATCGCTACTAGTTCTCCTACTGGGACTCTCATGTACATTGTCAATATGGCTTTGACGAGTTAAAAATAAGTGTGTGGGGTTTATTTTAAGGCAGGGAACAGTTTCTAAAAGTATGTCAACAGAATATTTCCTGGTAGTGTGTTAGATGACTCATTTATTATTAGACCTATGAATATTAGAACATCTGCAACATGGGATAACTTTGTGTACAGGATAGATTGTTCCTAAGGTTCTTTTCTTATCAGAATGGGCGGAGGGGTAGCCTAGTGGTTTAACGTTCGCTAGTCACGCCAAGAACCTGGGTTCGATTCCCCACATAGGTACTATGTGTGAAGCCCAGTCTGGTGTTCCCCGCCGTGATATTGCTGGAATATTACTAAAAGCGGCGTAAAACTAAACTCACTCACTCTTAATCATAATATTACAACTGATTTAAACATTACGTGCAATGACCCACCACAATAACATTCTTGGTTTGGAAGGTTAAACATTCGAAGTCACGTGCTGGATGTGTTATTTCATAAAATGGTTTACACTGTAAATTAACGTTGTTCATTTTGTTACATGAATGCATATAACTGACAAACATTTCCAACCACTTTGTTACATGAATGCATAGAACTGACAAATATTTCCAACCACTTTGTTACATGAATGCATATAACTGACAAACATTTCCAACCATTTTGTTACATGAATGCATATAACTGACAAACATTTCCAACCACTTTGTTGCAGGACAAATTACTGCTGTTTGTTGTCTTGTTAAACAATTATTACAAATTATAAACCCTTCCAAAATGTTTTGTCCAGCCTCCTTTTGTAAATGTAAGATGTACCACATGCCTGGTCAGTCCATTGTGTGAACAACCAGGTGTCTCGTTACCAAGATACTTTGTAGCATAAAGTTAAAATTACTGTAAAATAACTTCCAGTCTGTCTTTTTCGGTACGTTTCAGTATTGGCTTGTTAATGCTTTTGGTGTAATTTGAATACTGGGTCATTGCATACAAAAGAATTTAATTTGTTTTTTTTGACAGTTGACATATATTCCTGCAGTGTTGATTGTCTCCAGGGAAGATATCGCTGCAGATTGTTGTATTAACATGTCTAAATATAGACGTTGGACACGCTTGAGGAGTGTCTTCTGTATTGAGGGCACAGCAACTAGGTATCAAGCGATCAGTCCCCATGATTAGATCAATACTAAAATCAATGCACTCCCTCAACTCATTAACCCCTCATGTCTCATGTGTCAACCAGCAAACATCCACGACTGATCCAGACAGTGTGGGTACAAGATGTGAACATCACGTGTCACATCCAGAAACATTGGATATATTGTGTCTTTGCTTGTGTTGCCATGAATAGTTGCAAATTTGTGTTAAGTTATATTCACTCTCTAATTTGTGTTAAGTAATATTCACTCTCTAATTGACATCTCTATTGTTATTTATTTGTCCGGATATGAGATTAAACTTAATAGTTAGTTTATTCAAACTATAAAATTGCTTTTCCAATTAATGTCGCCTACTGTCAAATACACGTTTACAATGTAACAAAGCAGGTTTTGTTTTGTTTACATGTTTATAGGAGAAATATTCTTGGCAAATATTAATGAATTGTATCTTGTAAAATGTTTCTATTTTGTGCAAACCTAGTATGATATAATACCTATAAATATCATAAACAATATGTGAGACCTCAGGAGTACTAGAGTCTGCAACTCACCCCAATGTCTCTGAACAATGACAATACCATACATGATAGTCTGCTGCCATGGAAGCAGGCTATGTGTGTGGAGTGTCATCACATGCTGACCAAGATTATACAATACACAAGTTGTATTTTATATTGAAATGTCCATCATATTACTATCCTAAAATAATGTATATCAAACCATATTATCACAAATAATGAAGCAAACATATCCAACATAGCCCACACAAGTCTAGAAAATGTGACAAGTCCAGATTTCCACATTTTCTGAAAATGAAGAAAGTCTCAGGGCTCGATTACATTATATTTTATGTTTTTTACTATGAACTTTTTTTGCTGTCAAATATGTTCCTTCAGATTGTTATTCTATGTTACAAGTGTCCAACAATACATTCAGTTCAGATTGTTAGTCTATGTTACAAGTGTCCAACAATACGTTCAGTTCAGATTGTTAGTCTATGTTACAAGTGTCCGACAATACGTTCAGTTCAGATTGTTAGTCTATGTTACAAGTGTCCAACAATACGCTCAGTTCACAATTCAGATTGTTAGTCTATGTTACAAGTGTCCGACAATACGTTCAGTTCAGATTGTTAGTCTATGTTACAAGTGTCCAACAATACGTTCAGTTCAGATTGGTAGTCTATGTTACAAGTGTCCAACAATACGTTCAGTTCAGATTGTTAGTCTATGTTACAAGTGTCCAACAATACGTTCAGTTCAGATTGGTAGTCTATGTTACAAGTGTCCACAATACGTTCAGTTCAGATTGGTAGTCTATGTTACAAGTGTCCGACAATACGTTCAGTTCAGATTGGTTATATTCAAGTGTCCAACAATAGATTGGTAGTCTATGTTACAAGTGTCCGACAATACGTTCAGTTCAGATTGGTAGTTTATGTTACAAGTGTCTGACAATACGTTCAGTTCAGATTGTTAGTCTATGTTACAAGTGTCCAACAATACGTTCAGTTCAGATTGGTAGTCTATGTTACAAGTGTCCGTCAATATGTTAGATTATTCAACTTCTTTTGTTTGAACTAACTGTTGAGTATGTCAGCATACAGTTCAGTTTTAGAAGACAGATTTCATTTCCTAGTAAAGAATATTTGATTTGGGTATGTGACTCACATTGACTATAAGTGTAGACTTTCCAATATTTACACCTGTTCCTGCTTGTGACTGGTCAGTGAGAGCCATGTGACTTTACTAGGCTTCACTGTTAGAAGATGTGATATGACATCAGAAATTACATGTTTAGTGTTGTAGACATTCAGTCATTTCTTCCTTCATTTTCTCCCTTACAATGTCCGTATGTCATGTATGGAACATGCCTCCAAACTCGGGATTACATGCTACTTGTCCTGTGATTGAATGCTGTAAGTCACTCGCCTCAGGCCTGAAATTACCACCATTCATTCACACAGGACAGATAATCAGTAATTATCATAGCTTGTATTTTGTGAATATTACCATAGAACATCATCCCCTACAGGCATTGACATCTGCCATAAATGTTCTTAACTCATGTTTTGAGTCTAAGTTTTGTTTGGGGTTATGTAACCTTGGTAACCCTAAGACGATGACAAATGGCAAGATTCCTTGTGGACAAATATCATGATGCTTTATCAAGCTTGATTAGGGCAACTCAAGCTCTAGGCTTTTGTAGCATGATATTGCAAGGATATTGTTAATATCTTGGTGGACTGAGACATTGTAACCTTACTGTGTCCAAGTTCACTGCGCGTTGCTGTACCCGCAACTAGGTGTTTGCACGCATTCATGTGGCCACCATCTGGTCACTTACAAACAGATGCAATCCAAGGAACATTACTGCCATGCATACATCAGTGTTTTATAAGATGAATATTACTTCTTTTCCATGTTTGTTGAATCAGGAAATTTGTTTAATTTGACACTGAGAATCGTAAACGCATTTTATATCTTTTAGTGATAGTGGATGAGCCTAGTGGTAGAAACAGTGACTTGTCTGGCAGAGTTCCTTGATTTCAATCCCCACAATGGTTCAATGTAGCTCAACATCTCAAATATGTACAAGGATATGTACCGTTAAATTTTTTTTTAAAAAGCCAGACTTGTGAACCACCTTCACGAACCACTACCAGATTGATCCCATCAATGTATGTATCATGTTTTGTTATTGCTGTAAGCATGATGATGACCTTTTCACCTTCAACTGTTTCCTTGTGCAGACATGGACGATGTGATCCACACCCAGAAGCTGTTTGCTGTTGGGCGGTCAGAACCTGTCCGTCTGCGCATGTCGGAGAGAGGGCCTGGAGCAGTCAAACCCATCACCGTCCCCACCCTGCTGCGTCAGGTGGCGCAGAAAGTACCAAACAACGTCGCTCTTGGTGAGTTTCTGAGTGTGTGACTGGAAATTCGGGGCTGGATCCCTGTGTCACCATGCCTAGTGATATGTGGGACATCAAGTTTATATGACTGGTTCTGAGACAGATGTTAATAACTTCTACTGAAGAGACCAAGTCACTTTGTTAAAGATTTATTTATTTGTCTGTGTTATCGGGAGAGATGTTAGTGCTTCTGTGTCTCTTCATGGTTATTAGCTTAATTTCTGTTGTCTTCCCACCCTGCCCTGGTGTAATATTGTTAGAAACAGGGACAAACTCACAGAGACGATTTATCTCTTATTTCAGCTGTGAAACGCAATGGGCAGTGGGTGAAATGGACATATAGTCAGTATTATGCAACTGTATGTCGCACAGCCAAGGCATTTATCAAGGTCAGTTCACGTAACCGTGGAACAACATTCACTCAGACATTTTGAACAAGAATTCCCGTTAAACATTTTTTCTGCAATATGTCTACAATGATTAACCAAGAATGCAGGAATCAAGTAACACACATAAAACTATTTACAGAAACATCAATATTCAGATTCTGTTTTCTGTAATTCAATCAGTAATGTAGGAATCATGTGCTTATGTCCATAAAGGTCAGGTCTGTTGTCAAAGAACTCAAAGGGACCAGTAATGTTAGTTTGTTATAACCGTAAATTGTTATACATATATGCATTTTGACCAAAATATAGAGACCAAAACACATATGGAAATATTTAAAAAGATGACTAAGTGTGTTTGTTACCAGCTCGGCTTGGAACCCTGCAGTGGTGTGGGCATTATTGGTTTCAACTCTCCGGAATGGTTTTTTGCTGATCTGGGAGCTATATTTGCTGGGTAAGCTATTATTGATGGATGGGCTGTTTAATAAATAATAAAGTATTGTGTCTCAGGTAACCCTGGAAGACACTTATGTAAATCACAGTAAATGAGCTCGGTTGTCAGTCTGAGTGGCTCGTGTGAGTGTGTGCAAACATTCACCATCAACTTTTGTGACAGATACTTGTACTACTCTCAATACATGTATGTTACAGTGAATATGTCAAATCAGTCATCTTGTAAAATCAATGAAAATTTCAGGGATTTCATTAAATTTCTGATTCACTTGGTGGTTTCACAAAATCCCTGGAATTCCTAGGGATTTAACAAAATCCCTGAAAATCATGGCAATTTTTTTTTACATATTCCTTGAAATGAATATATCAGTGTTTGTTTTGACAATACTGCTTGTAAATATTGCATGTGTTTACAGTAACCAAAGATAAACAATATAAGGAAGTTAACAATGCTCATTGTGTTTTTACATCTTGGTCATGTAACTCTGCTTGTTGTGACAACAGTATATGTCAGCCATGTTTGTTTAACTAATAAGGAAATGTAACATATGTTATATTTGGGATTACACTTTCTTAGTAAAGTACAGATTCTAGTACTTTTTGGGCTGAGTCATATCCGGGATTCGAACCCACACAAAGTCAGACGCCTAGACTGCTCAGCCACCGCGGCTTCCACAAAAATGGAAGTCGGACAACTGGTTGTCTTTACAGCGGACTTTGTGTACCCAAGGCGATTAGGTGCCTGACTCTGAGGGTGTGGGTTCGAATCCCAGGTGGGCCTCAACCCAAAAAGTACTAGAATCTGTACTTTACTAAGAAAGTGTAATCCCAAATATAACATATGTTACATTTTGACCACTTTCTAAATGGCATTGTGTATTTCATTGCTTTCGGCCATGGGAGCTGTGCCAATTAACACTTATCAGAGGGGGTACACAAAGTCCGCTGTCTAGACTACCAGTTGTCCGACTTCCATTTTTGTGGAAGCCACGGTGACTGAGCAGTCTAGGCATCTGACTTTGTGTGCTGGCGATTAGGTGCCTGACTCTGAGGGTGTGGGTTCGAATCCCGGATGGGACTCAACCCACGTAAAAAAAATCGTGAAAATTGTCGTGATTATCAGGGATTTTGTTAAATCCCAAGGAATTCTAGGGATTTTGTGAAACCACCGAGTGAATCAAGAATTTTATAAAATCCCTGAAATTTCCGGTGCTTTTACAAAATCACTGATATGACATATTCACTGTAACATATACCGTGTAAATACACTTTGAATAACTACCTGCGAGATATTGTAGTTCTCCTATACAGCTATGAAGTCTCGCACACTTCCTTCTCAAAGTAAATCTTTAATGATGTTACATGTGCTGAATGTGGTCTCACCCTAGCAAGTGAGTTTGTTCAAACTTGCCCCAGTGGGATAAGTCATGTGACCATTAACCTTCTAGCACCTCACAGTCAACTTGGGTTATCTGGGGTAATAATGTGCTGTTGTTAGTTTGTCAACGCTGTGAGCATCACCTAGTGAATGGAATTTAGTTCTGTATAAATGCACATATTATTATACCCCCGCTACGAAGTAACGGGGGTATATAGCGTTCATTCTGTCCGTCCGTCCGTCCGTCCGTCCCGAAACTTTGTCCGGAGCATATCTCTTAAAGTTTACATGCTAGGTTCACCAAACTTCACACACATGTTAATCATTACCCATTGATGTGCCTTTTGCTATTTTAAAGTTTTTTCAGAATTTAGTTTTTTTGCTGTTTCCATGGAAACACGACTTAGGCTGTGACTATGAGGATGTCATCTTGTCCGGAGCAGATCTTCCAAACTATACATGCTAGCTTCATCAAACTTGGTACACATATCAAGCATGATCCCTAGATGTGCCTTTTGGGGTTTAGATCCAGATATGAATTGTATTTTTTGCTGTTTCCATGGGAACACGACTTAGAGCCAAATGTGTTCGATTATTTTGTCCAGAGCATATCTCCTAAAGTTTACATGCTAGGTTCATGCTAGGTACGTGCAAAATGTATTTGATGGTTACCTGACCACGGCATATCATCGAAACTATACATGCTAGGTTCACCAAACTTAATACACAAGTTAGTCATGACCCACAGATATGCCATGTGCTAAAAAATAGCAATATTCATCTACGTCCATTGTGTGCAACATGAGACAGTCAAGTTCAATTGTATGTCAGGTTTCCACGGAAAACACAAAAAAATCTAGTTTCCATAAATTATTACCGTAATCAGTACATGCCAAAACTATTATCTAACATGTATATAAAGTTTAGTAGAGTCAAAGAGAAAGTCTTGTGAGCTGCTGATCCTTGTCACATTATATATATCAATATCAGTCATTTCCATGTCCCAAAGTGGGAAGCGGGGGTATTTGAGCTTTGCTCACTTCTACACTTGTTATCATTATAATACTCAGGTCAAAAGTTCTAGATTTGGACATCTCTGGATTATAATATAAATCCTAATGACCCAGTAGTTTCCTGTGTTTCCACCATGTGGGTGCTGTATTGCAGTGGCCTGGCTACTGGAATCTACACCACCAACACACCTGAGGCGTGCCAGTTTGTCGCTAGTAACGCCAAGATTAACATCATCGTGGCGGAAAACAACATGCAGTTGGAGAAGTTCATCAAGATCAAGGACCAGCTTCCTCATCTCAAGGCCATCATCCAGTACAGTGGAGAAATCGCCCACAGAGAGTCGTTTGTCTACTCAGTAGGTTACTGTTGATGTTGTACAGTCTGTATGTGGACTGCTTGTGAGTGAGTTTGGTTTTACGCCGCTTTTAGCAATATTCCAGCAATATCATGGTGGGGACACCAGAAATGGACTTCACACATTGTACCCTTGTGGGGAATCGAACCTGGGTCTTCGGTGTGAGGAGCGGACGCTTTAACCACTTGGCTACCCCACTGCCCTTTCATAACTGAACTGAACAGAGTGACGTGAACATGATGCGCAGGCTTGACTACAAGGAACAGTGACATGTCTTAAGTCAGGCTGACGTGACAAGTTGAAATTCACTGAATCACAATGCTTACAATATTTTAAAATGTTACGAATTTTGTCCAAAGCTCAAAACCATGGTCAAATAAAAAGCAATTAATAGAGAGTTTTAGCTTATGATGTGAAGGTTTTGCTTGAATTGATAAAGTTATTCCTAAGATCTTTAGATGTTTGTGAAGAGGCAGCAACCACTAAGATCTGATTTCAATAAGACTAGATTATTCATGTTTTCTTAAATTTACTGATTTAAACACCAGATATTCGGTATCACATGTTTTAGAGGCATCAGGATCCTTTATTTGTTGTTGACACCTGGTGCAGTTGATTGTCTCGTGGGGCGGTGGGGTAGCCTAGAGGTTAAAGTGTTCGCTCATCACGCCAAAGACCAGGTTCAATTCCCCATGTGGGTACAATGTGTAAAGCCCATTTCTGGTGTTTGCTGCCGGGATGTTGCTGAAATATTGCTAAAAGCGGCGTTAAACTTAACTCAATCACTCACTCACTGAATGTCTTGTCTGACATTTGGCACACAAGAAAAGCCTTTACAGGTGTCTCAGTTTCGATGATATTGATATGTGAGGGTATTTCTACAGAGGAAGAACATGATTATTTAAAATATGATTATTCCTTCCACAATGTGTAAAATGTGAATCTATTCTTTGGTTCATTCATTCTACGTTCAAACTTTTGTCTTTCAGTGGGAAGATTTTGTGAAGCTGGGAGATGATGTCCCTGACTCTCAGTTGGAAGACCGATTGAAGGATGTTGCCCCGAACAAGTGTTGTACTCTTATATACACAGTGAGCATTCAGGATATAGAGAATCTCACCCTCGTGTCTTGTGATATCAAATATATCACCACGGTTGATAAAGTTACAAATATCCAAGGCTTGCCGAGGATATTTTTACTTTTATCAACGAGTGTTGATATATTTGATATCAAAAGACACGAGGGTGAGATCCTATTTATCATCAGAAATCACTCTTCATTTGTTTTCAATGAAAAATGTACATCTCTGAACATGGTACTGCCATGAGACATGCAGTGCAGTGCAGCGATGTCATAGCATTGTGAAGTCATCAGGTTTTTGATGTCATAGCATTGTGAGTCATGTAAATGGTGATGTCAAGGCATTGTACAAAATCTACTGTCAAAACTATATCTCCTAGGAGATATCGCTTGATCTCACACAAGCAATATCTCCTGTGGAACACAGTTTTGGAAGATAAACTAGTATCTTCTAATGCTATGTTCATATACTTAGTGAGTGTTCAGGATAATAGTATGTTCTAATGGTATATTCTCATATACACTGAGTGGTATGTTAAGTGTACTGTACAAATTAAGTGTTTGGGATAGTACTTTCTTCTAATGTGTAGTTTTATGAGCATAGTGTTAGGTCAAGTAGTATATTCTAATAGTATTGCCTCATGTAGTGTAGTCAGATAGTATTTGGGGTATTAACAGTATATCTAAGTACAGATTTAACTTGTTAGTTGAAGCATATCTTCCTTTAGTAGCATGCAAATACAGTGTGTGGCCTGGATGAACTTCAGAGCATTTGGATCTGTATTTTCCTGTATCCAGATAGTTATTGGTACACAGAAATCATTATATGTAATGGGATTATTCATATGGTGTAGAGTATTGTCGAAACTGAGAATATCGCAGAAGTGTTACTTACCCATGCTTATATTTCAATCAATGGATTGTGTGGCTGACGTTATTCGCCACTTTTAGTAATATTCTGCCAATATCACGATAGGGGACCTGAAATGGGCTTCACACGCTGTATCCATGTGGGGAATCAAACCTGGTTACATTTAGCCACTACACTACATCGCTGCCCCATCTTGCCTAGACTTGATTAATTAAATACTGCCCTTATATAGCCCGGAATGTACCGTGCAGTGTTAAGCAAATGCAATAATGCTGGTCTTTGATACAGTTATAGAGACTGAAACACCTCTATCTTAAAGTAATTTTGAATATCATGGAGACTGAAATAGCTATATTTTGTATACAAATATCTGACTGGTGTTCAATGCAGTCTAAGTCAGCTGTTGATGGTTTGTTTCAGTCTGGGACCACCGGGAACCCTAAAGGAGTCATGTTGAGCCATGATAATGTAAGTACTAAGTTCTCCTGTTATAGTTTACTTAAGAAATTGTTAAACATATGGGCATTGAAATGAACTAATAGTGTTATGTTTCAGGTCACATGGACAGCCAAAGCAACAGGTGATGCCAACAAGCTACGCTTTGGTGAGGAGATTTCGGTCAGTTATCTCCCTTTGAGCCACGTGGCAGCTCAGGTGTTGGACATATACCTGCCGATATCATTTGGAGGAACAGTCAACTTCGCCGGGCCTGACGCTCTGAAGGTAGATCTACGTAAACTTCTCTTGTCTTACAATGCAGCAAAAACCTTTTTCCTTATGGTTCTAAGATGTATGTTTGTCATTTCAAGAACACAGGGGGACTATAGTCTGTCACCTAGGATTGGGAGCTCACATGGGCAAGGGGTACAGAGTAGCGTGTCTGGAGGCATTGTCAGTGTGTGATAGTATTCATCAATGACTGTCTAGTGAGTTAGGTGGCTTGATGTGGGACAAATGTTGCAGGTTGTGTTAATGTGGCTTGATGTGGGATAAATGATGCAGGTTGTGTTAATTTGGCTTGATGTGGGACAAATGTTGCAGGTTGTGTTAATTTGGCTTGATGTGGGACAAATGTTGCAGGTTGTGGATGTGCTGCTGTTAATCAGTGGGATTCTGGGACTTGTATTGGGACTATCTGAAATGACCAAGGGACATAACTCCACGTAGCAATGCGTGGCAACTGACCATCTTTATTAACCCTGACATTAAGTTATCTGCTGGTGTATTGCAGGGAACACTTGGCCAGACATTAAGTTATCTGCTGGTGTATTGCAGGGAACACTTGGCCAGACACTGAAGGAGATTCGGCCCACATCTTTCTTCGGTGTACCACGAGTGTGGGAGAAGATGATGGAGAGAATGCTGGCCATTGGCAAAGAGACCACTGGCTTGAAGAAGAAGATTAGCACCTGGGCGAAGGGAGTTGGTCTAAAGGGAAACTACAATCTTCAGAATGGGTAGGCATGAACGTGTGTTTCTCCAGTTGATTGAGATAATGCTGTAAAATTTAGTTCAGTGGATGTCACGTTTAATTCTATAAGATTTTTCAAACTTTATACAGAGACAAGCACTAATAGTTTTGTCTATATTCAGTCTCAGTAAACTTAGGCTCAGTATTATTCATTACACTGCTATACTGAGTCTAACAAAACCTAGTAGAAGGTCGCGTCAGCTAACCTTTGAGCGACCTATGACCGTCCAATCAAACGCGAGACGGCCGATCGGATTTAACCAATCAGACAACAACTACTTGTTAGGGTTCGTCGGGACTTACAAAACGGTTTTTGGATTTTCTTTTCCCTGGTCGCTGACACTGATCTAACAACAAACGAAAATCCGCATAAAACACAGATATTTGACCTGCAGTATATACGCTTATGGGTTACTATTTGCTTATATTTTCGCAAGATGACATCCTAATATATTGACAAAACGACTGTTTCAGCGACTGTTTACTCATTGCATGTTTCACTCGGAATTGATCGTGCGAAAAATAGCATTCGGAATCGTTTGAGTTTTTGAGGTAACGGTTCAAACGGTATGTGCGAATGTTAACTTTCACGATTTGGTGAGCTGTGTTCTGATTGGTCAATCCAAAAGGTTAGCTGAGGCGACCTTCTACTAGGTTTTGTTAGACTCAGTATAGCAGTGTAACGAATAAAACTGAGCCTAAGTTTACTGAGACTGGTCTATATTCTGCAATCTTGCCGAATGCCACTCGATAGTAAAGAAATCTTATGACCAAGTTATTAATTTTTTTCAATGCATTAAATAATTATGTTCTAAAATATTTTTTTACCCAGTTTTTCGAAGCGAGGAAAATCGTGTAAACGGTAACTAATTGGTTGTCCAGTGATTATATTGTACTTACGTAGTGCCATGTGTTTACAGGCTACATATCCCAGCATGCAGTGCAACTCGTGTATAGTTCAGGGTTGGAATGATACACTGACAACTATAACATGGTGTAAGATACTTTAATTAGTAACACATTATATGGTGCACAATTTTAGATGAACTCTGCTTAAATTCTAACTCGTAAAGGCAGACAAAAGACCTTTTTTGTAACAGAATCACTTTTTGTACATTGGATTATTATATTTTAAAACAGCACCAATAATTTGAGCTCTATGTGGCAATGCTAAATCAGTGTCTGATGTTAAGCAGGAAAGTAAAGGGGTTCTTGCTTAACTTAAATATGTGGAGATTCAAATACTATAAAAGGCCTCCATGATTCTCAAATTTAAACATGGCCAAAAAATGAATCATAGGACCATTCTCTTGACCATCTGATGAACAGATAATCAAAATGCAAAATGTATTGATACTGTATAAAGAGTATTGTGTACCATGGTATGTCAGTGTATCAGTTCTGGCTTGGTTCATGCTGCGTATCATTTGCATAGTATGGTGTCAACATCTGTTCATTTTCATATTGTGTATGCTTCTTTATGTCTAGTCAGATTACATGTATTTCTTTTGATTTGAATATGTGTATCAATTGTTGTTTAGTTTCCCTGTGAGTAGTTTGCCGCAGTATATACCAGGGATTTATCTAGGAAGCATCACTAATTGCCCTATAAGATAAATTGGAGAAAATCGGTATTTCCTTCATATTTTGGGATTATTTTTTTACATATTTTTTTTTTCTAAATTCAGATTTACTTAACTTGAATTCAATATGAAATTCAATTTTGTAATTATGTTAAACTAAGCATTAAAGCCCCTTCTTGAAATACAAATGACATCCAATACAAGTCACCTCAACAAAGCAATATCATTAACTAAGAGAAGCATCCATTACCATTGAACATGTGAGTGCAGTGGACGTCATGCTAGATTAGTGTGAGGTGCTGGAACTTTCTTGACTTGATATTTCTGAGGATGAATAGTTTGGATGGCGAGGTAGCCTTGTGGATCAAGTGGTTGCTCATTGCATTAAACGACCAGGGTTTGGTTCCCCTTAAAGCTTGGGTTTCACTCCCTCACATGGAAGGTCATCTGTGACCGATTGAATGCAATATCATACCTATACCTGCATGTATTGCTTCTGACAACCTGCATAAACACCCGCATCCCCTCGTACAACTTGGACGTGATCAATCACTCAGCATCAAACCCATCCCTTGTTGTTCCCTCACTCATGCACAAGTGTCATGCCTTGTATGCCTTTCAGTAAGAAATGGAACATGAAGATATGTGTTTTTCTGTAACCTTTTCTTTTCTCTTTATTTGTATTAATTTGTTATTCATAGGCTGCGAGGCGGTGGCATAGCCTAGTGGTTAAAGCGTTTGCTCGTCACGCTGAAGACACGGGTTTGATTCCCCACATGGGTACAATGTGTGAAGCCCATTTCTGGTGTCCCCTGCTGTGACATTGCTAGAATATTGCTAAAAGCGGTGTAAAACTAAACTCACTCATTGTTATTTGGCTGCAGTTGTACAGCGGTAGCTGGAATATTGCTGACGGCAGTGCTGACTCACTTAGCCCACTGTAGTGAACAAATTATTCTGTATTGTGTTTGTGTCAGTCAGATGACTTTAGTCAGCTTTAATCCATATATTACAGTTTCTGAAGGAATGTTTTGAAATGTGGGTGACAATGGTTCACTGGTATCATGTTTGGTACTTATAATGGTTCAACTGGTATCTTGTTTGGTACTTTTAATGATTCACTGGTATCATGATTGGTACTTATGATGGTTCACTTGTATCATGTTTGGTACTTATGATGGTTCACTGGTATCATGTTTGGTACTTATAATGGTTCATTGGTATCATGTTTGGTACTTATAATGGTTCACTGGTATCATGTTTGGTACTTATGATGGTTCACTGGTATCATGTTTGGTATCATACTATCATGTTTGGTATATGTTGGTTCACTGGTATCATGTTTGGTATTTATGATGGTTCACTGGTATCATGTTTGGTATCATGTTCACTGGTATCATGTTTGGTATCACTGGTACTGTATCATGTTTGGTATCATGTTTGGTATCATGTTGGTTCACTGGTATCATGTTTGGTAGTTATGATGGTATCACTGGTATCATGTTTGGTATCATATAATGGTATCACTGGTATGGTTCATGGTACTTATGATGGTTCACTGGTATCATGTTTGGTACTTATAATGGTTCATGTGGTATCATGTTTGGTACTCATGTTTGGTACTTTCACTGGTATCATGTTTGGTATCATGTTTGGTACTTATAATGGTTCACTGGTATCACTGGTTGGTCACTGGTATCATGTTTGGTACTTATAATGGTTCACTGGTATCATGTTTGGTACTTATAATGGTTCACTGGTATCATGTTTGGTACTGTTTGGTATCATGGTTCACTGGTATCATGTTTGGTACTTATAATGGTTCACTGGTATCATGTTTGGTACTTATAATGGTTCACTGGTATCATGTTTGGTACTTATAATGGTTCACTGGTATCATGTTTGGTACTTATAATGGTTCACTGGTATCATGTTTGGTATTATAATGGTTCACTGGTATCATGTTTGGTACTTATAATGGTTCACTGGTATCATGTTTGGTACTTATAATGGTTCACTGGTATCATGTTTGGTACTTATAATGGTTCACTGGTATCATGTTTGGTAGTTATGATGGTTCACTGGTATCATGTTTGGTACTTATAATGGTTCACTGGTATCATGTTTGGTACTTATAATGGTTCAGTTGGAATGGTAATTATGGTAAGACTAAGAGTCGAATGAGAAGGATGCAATGGTCAAGTCAGTGTTTTTCATCCTACCCAGACAGCCTAGGTTCCTGTCTGTGATTACAGTCCTTCTTTGTGTGCTACACACTTGATTGGGGGTGTTGGGGTAGCCTAGTGGTTAAAGCATTCGCTGGTCATGCCAAAAACCAGGGTTTGAATCCCCACATGGGTACGATGTGTGAGGCCTGTTTCTGGTGTCCCCCACCGTGATATTGCTGGAATGTTGCTAAAGGCAGCGTAAAACCATACTCCCTCATTCAGGCTTGATACTTAACAAGTGGCTATGATATACTAGGTGGCTGGAATACTGCTGACAGCAGTGTTTTAACTCACTTTGAGATGGGTATCTTTGCCTTTACAGGCTCTGAAATGATAGATTTTAGATGTTTTAATTTACAGTTGGTTAATGAAGTTTCAACAGTTTTTTAATGAAATACCACAAGACAATATATATTTGGTATGTAGATATGTGAGTTCCTTATGCTGTGAGATGATCTCAATATTTCTATTTTCAGTGCTGGATTGCCTTTTGGTTTTGGTATTGCGAATGCTCTGGTTTTCTCCAAAGTTCGTGCTGCTCTTGGATTTGACCGCTGCAGGTTTTTTATCTCTGGAGCAGCTCCCATCACCAGGGATACCCTGGAGTACTTCCTCAGTCTCAACATCCCAATAGCAGAGGTGTATGGCATGAGTGAGTCTTCAGGTGAGTACTTCCTCAGTCTCAACATCCCAATAGCAGAGGTGTATGGCATGAGTGAGTCTTCAGGTGAGTACTTCCTTCGATCTCAACATGAAAAGAAGGCAGAGTTTAGGTTTACACCTTTATTCCACGTGTCGACAGCATAGTCATAGACAAAAACTCTCTGGTCATGTTGCGAGCATGATAATATACTGCATCACATCACGTCCAACTCTCGCTCAGTCATCCAATCACACACGCCTCCACTCGGCGCATGCGCATAGGCTGCTTAGCAGACGACAGTAAGATAACCATTCGTACAACAAACATCCCAATAGTAGAGGTGTATGGCATGAGTGAGTGAGTACCTGCCCTGCCCTGCCCTGCCCTGCCCTGCCCTGCCCTGCCCTGCCCTGCCCTGCCCTGCCCTGCCCTGCCCTGCCCTGCCCTGCCCTGCCCTGCCCTGCCCTGCCCTGCCCTGCCCTGCCCTGCCCTGCCCTGCCCTGATAGTTCAGACACACACAAATAACCAACAATATTGCACTTTTTTTCTGCAGACTCTGACCTCACCAATTTCTAAAAACAACATTAGTGTCCGGCATTATCAAATATGAACATAACATTACATGAATTGTTAACAAACATGACTACTGTCTGGATAAACAGGTTTCTAGACATGGCATACTAAAATATCACATTTAGGTGACATATCAATGAATTTATGGTATGTTCAGCTGCTTAGTTGAGACTTTAATTGATTTGTATTTGTTTTCAGGTCCACACACTTTTGGCCGAGATGGTGCTGAAAACCGCATAATGAGTGTTGGTTTTGAGTTTGGTGGCATTCAGACAAAACTTGCAAATATCGACAGTGATGGCAATGGAGAGGTATGCTGGCTAGAGTTATCTCCCATTCTTGGCCGGATCAAAATAGTCGTTTATGAAACAGTTTCTTCGTTACTATTGAAATCCATGGGGAATAGAACAACAGAACCCAAGATAAGATTTGTATTGATGTAAGATATACAAAGTATATCACTATTACTCAGTGTTAAGCTTTACTTCTTTGACACAGGCTTATGATCGTGGTAGTGCACAGGACTGAGGTCACCTACTGGAAGTAGGGCCAGAATGTGACTGTTTGTTGTTTAACGCGTCACTAAGCAGTAATCCAGCTATGCAATCTGTAAATAATGGAGTCTGGACCAGACAATCCAGTGACCAACATCATGAGCATCGATCAGCACAATTGGGATATGATGACGTGCCAGCCAAGGCGGCGAGCCTGACCACCTGATCCTGTTGGGCTCCTCTTATGACAAGCATGGGTTGCTGAAACCAATTCTAACCTGGATCTTCACCAGCCAGAGTGTGACTGACTACATCATGAGACACAGTCAGTGTCTTTTCACAAATCCTGATCAAGTAGTGTATGTTTCCTAAGGCTGTGGCTGAGGAACATGTTTATATGTCTGCTCCTGGGGTTCTGTCTGTCCTCAACCTTCAATGATGTTTCTTCAGATCTGCATGTTTGGCCGCGATGTGCTGATGGGCTACCTGGAGAACGAAGAGAAAACAAAAGAGACCATGGATGAAGAAGGCTGGCTACACAGTGGAGACATCGGGAAGAAAGATAAAGATGGCTTCCTCTTCATCACTGGTAGAATCAAAGGTACCCTACATGCACACATTTTACCCTGCTGGAACTCAGTCAACAACTTGTTATTGCTCATATCTTACACTCTGTCAAATGTGGAACTATTATCAAGTGTGTTTCTTGTTGACATTCATTAGCTGTAACATATTTGTGTATATACAACACTGAATAAATATTAATATTCATTAATGTAACCCCCTGACCAATATATACATTATCTCCAGTACTATCTAAATGTGTGTTTTATATACAACCATCCCTAACCCCATGGTCAATATATACATTATCTCCAGTACTATCTAAATGTGTGTTTTATATACAACCATCCCTAACCCCATGGTCAATATATACATTATCTCCAGTACTATCTAAATGTGTGTTTTATATACAACCATCCCTAACCCCTGGTCAATATATACATTATCTCCAGTACTATCTAAATGTGTGTTTTATATACAACCATCCCTAACCCCCTGGTCAATATATACATTATCTCCAGTACTATCTAAATGTGTGTTTTATATACAACCATCCCTAACCCCATGGTCAATATATACATTATCTCCAGTACTATCTAAATGTGTGTTTTATATACAACCATCCCTAACTCCCCTGGTCAATATATGATTTTACTTTGCCTATATTCCATGTTGTGTATAACACAGATGTCTCATAACATCATCTATGGACCCCAAGACCCGCGTTATGGCGAGGCATGACTGTATATATATTGACTCTGATGGTTGTCATGCATCGCGTTATGGCAAGGGTTGACTGTATATATATTAACTCTGATGGTTGTCATGCATCGCGTTATGGCGAGGGATGACTGTATATATATTGACTCTGATGGTTGTCATGCATCGCGTTATGGCGAGGGTTGACTGTATATATATTGACTCTGATGGTTGTCATGCATCGCGTTATGGCGAGGGATGACTGTATATATATTGACTCTGATGGTTGTCATGCATCGCGTTATGGCGAGGGATGACTGTATATATATTGACTCTGATGGTTGTCATGCATCGCGTTATGGCGAGGGATGACTGTATATATATTGACTCTGATGGTTGTCATGCATCGCGTTATGGTGAGGGATGACTGTATATATATTGACTCTGATGGTTGTCATGCATCGCGTTATGGTGAGGGATGACTGTATATATATTGACTCTGATGGTTGTCATGCATCGCGTTATGGTGAGGGATGACTGTATATATATTGACTCTGATGGTTGTCATGCATCGCTATATATATTGACTCTGATGGTTGTCATGCATCGCGTATGGCGAGGGATGATTGTATATATATTGATGGTTGTCATGCATCGCGTTATGGTGAGGGATGACTGTATATATATTGACTCTGATGGTTGTCATGCATCGCGTATGGTGAGGATGACTGTATATATATTGACTCTGATGGTTGTCATGCATCGCTATGGTGAGGGATGACTGTATATATATTGACTCTGATGGTTGTCATGCATCGCGTTATGGCGAGGGATGACTGTATATATATTGACTCTGATGGTTGTCATGCATGGCGTTATGGTGATGTTATATATTGACTCTGATGGTTGTCATGACTGTATATATATGACTCTGATGGTTTGTCATGCATGTCATGCATCGCGTTATGGCGAGGGATGACTGTATATATATTGACTCTGATGGTTGTCATGCATCGCGTTATGGCGAGGGATGACTGTATATATATTGACTCTGATGGTTGTCATGCATCGCGTTATGGTGAGGGATGACTGTATATATATTGACTCTGATGGTTGTCATGCATCGCGTTATGGCGAGGGATGACTGTACATATATTGACTCTGATATTTGTCATACATCATACATTTCCCTCACTATGATCTGTACAACCCTGACAGGATAGTGCACGATGCCTGTGTAACCTGTAGTGGAGACTGAAGTCCCTGCAGGAGTCTTGTATGTTAATTGAGCCGTGTTGTGATGTATTGCAGAGATAATCATCACAGCAGGGGGGGAGAATATCGCCCCGGTGCCCATCGAAGATGTGGTGAAGGAGTGCATCCCAGCCATCAGCAACTGTATGTTGATCGGAGACAAGAAGAAGTTCCTGGCTCTGCTGATAACTCTTAAGGTGAGAGAGTCACTCTTTATATCAGTGTAGGAAATAAGCCACAATCCCAGCCAGACACCTGTGTAGGAAATAAGACCAGCCAGACATCAGTGTAGGAAATAAGACCAGCCAGACATCAGTGTAGGAAATAAGACCAGCCAGACATCAGTGTAGGAAATAAGCCACAAATCCCAGCCAGACATCAGTGTAGGAAATAAGACCAGCCAGACATCAGTGTAGGAAATAAGACCAGCCAGACATCAGTGTAGGAAATAAGACCAGCCAGACATCAGTGTAGGAAATAAGCCCAGCCAGACATCAGTGTAGGAAATAAGCCACAATCCCAGCCAGACATCTGTGTAGGAAATAAGACCAGCCAGACATCAGTGTAGGAAATAAGCCACAAATCCCAGCCAGACATCAGTGTAGGAAATAAGACCAGCCAGACATCAGTGTAGGAAATAAGCCCAGCCAGACATCAGTGTAGGAAATAAGCCACAATCCCAGCCAGACATCTGTGTAGGAAATAAGACCAGCCAGACATCAGTGTAGGAAATAAGCCCAGCCAGACATCAGTGTAGGAAATAAGCCACAATCCCAGCCAGACATCAGTGTAGGAAATAAGCCCAGCCAGACATCAGTGTAGGAAAAAGAACCTTTGCCTACGCTGCCTCAACCTTATGGAATGAGCTGCCTGCATGCCTCAACATGGCTGAAACATTGCCTTCCTTCAAAAATAATATAAAGACTTTCTTTAACAATCACCTTGTCTGAGCAGCCCACAGAGCATACTATTGTGTGAATAGATGCACTATAGAAATGCATATATTATTATTATTATTATTATTATTATAAAATATCCACAATATAATTGGGAAACCTTCATAGTGTCCATATGAGTGAAGTCATTCAGTCCACCACTTGAAAAACTCACTTGAACCTTCTCTCTCCTCAGACGGAGGTTGACCCCGACACCCTAGAACCTCAGGTCCAACTGACCGCACCGGCCATGGAGTGGTGTAGGGCGCAAGGAAGCACAGCAACCACTGTCAGTGACATCCTTGACAGACCGGACACGGCAGTGTTGAAGGCAGTCCAGGCAGGCATCGACAAGGCCAACAGTCGGGCTGTATCTAGAGCAGCTAAAATCCAGAAATGGTCAATCCTGCCCAAAGACTTCTCAATACCTGGAGGAGAGCTAGGTAGAGAGGTGTAGTGTTATTATATAGAAGGTGACAGTATGGATAGGGCGTTGGTTGAGCTGGTCTGCCACTGGTTTGATGTTCCCAGACTGGATTATCTGCAGGCCACCATCATGTAGCTGGGATATTGATGCCTACTAATCAGTGTGCGAAATAGCCACTCCCCTGCTAGCCCGTTGTTAGTAAAAATCCAGTCAGGCCAGTAAATCTCACTGGCCTGATTTGCTAGTGGATTTTCATGGGGTCATTTTGTAAATATATTACTGTGTCCGACTTGCTAAGTTATAATGCACATTTAAATCATGCAAAATTATGGCCTGATAAAAATGTTCATCATGTTAGCAACTTCATTATGAAACCCATGTCTACATTCAAATTTCGGACTAGTGAATTTGTTTGTGGGCTAGTAACTTTCAGGCATAGCTAGACTGATTGACTAGAAAAATTTGGAAACTATTTCGCACACTGATATTAATAATGAAAGTGCAGTATCATTGTGGTAGCGTGCCTTGCTACAGATGGTATCGTGTTTCAGATAAAACTTTTATGAAGCAACACTTCCTTAAGTGGCATGTAGAAGCTGGTATGATGAAGGGGAACAATCTTAATGGACTGACAACTTGTCTATTGCAATAGATGCATCGTTTCGATGTAGATGCTAACAATAGCTTGATAACGTCATATCTCTAATATTCCTGTGTTACATAAAGCCACTAATCCTGTGGTCTAAGATTAGTGAACATTTGGGAGCAGAGTTGGTAGCCCCTGCTTGTTCCCCAGTGGACAGAACAGCCGTCCAGCACCCCATGATATAACAAGCACTGGCCAGCTCGAAGTAATAATGTACATATCAGAGAATGATGTCCATGAGAAACTGCAGTATGGTATCTCACTGGGCTTCCTCTCCATCATTATTGTGGACTGTAGGAATGCCCAGCACAAACACACAGGCACGTCTTGTGAATGCACATCGCTGTATAAGTGCATTCATTATGAAAACAATGTACAGTCTGGATAGCCTAATCGGCCACAGAATCTCCATTACATGTTTAAAGCATGTATTTAACCACTTTAGACAAACACATGGGCATGAGCATGGTGTTGATAGACCTAGAAACGTCCGGGTGAATCAGAGTTTGATCCCACTATCATGGGTATCTGTCATCCTAAAGAGGCACAACTCTGCACAGTGGATTGCAGCACCCTGCCACCCATCTCCAGAGATTGAAACATGCACTAAATATGATATTGTTTTTACTTATATGGCCTTGTGTGCCTTTTTATCCCCCCAGCGGGGATATAGTCGACGCCTCCTCCATCTGTCCATCCGTCCGTAATCATTTTGTTTCCAGAGCATAACTCTAAAAACATTCAATATTTTTCAACAATAATTGGTATATATATTAAACAGAACCTAAAGTGGTGCCATTTGCTATTTACAGATTGTTGACATTTTTAATTTTTCTCAGTTTCCATGGAAACATTTTGGACTTAGTCTCAAAAGGGGGGTTTGGGTTTGTGTTTGTTTCCGGAGCACAACTGGAAAACCTTTCAATATCTTTCTACAAGACTTAGCAGACATATCAAACAGATCTTGTGAAGTGGTGCCTTTTGCTATTTACTGATTTTAACCATTTATATTATTCATGATTTCCATGGAAACGATTTGGACTTAATCTAAAAAAATCAAGCTGGACTTTAAGTAACTGTCAGATGATTTGTTCTTTCAAATATATGGGGGCCAGGGGGATATGTCATCTGCTGATGACTCTTGTTTGTGAAAGTTACCTCCCTTTGTCTATCTGCCATCTCAGTCTAATTTCCGGTACCCATTCATGCTGATATGATTTTCTTTCCACAGGTCCAACCTTGAAACTTCGCCGTCCAATTGTAGCAAAGATGTACCTGAAAACAATAGATGCTTTTTATGCAGAGAAATAATATCTCTCCTGTCCTGTGCAATTGACTCCCACCAAAATGAACAAATAATAGTGCAAGCCATCAAACCATGACACCATTACGTGGACAGAAGTATGGAAGTGTTATTTCCATCGGGGTGTACGGTGACAGCAAGCACCCTGTCTTACGTAACAGCTGAAGAAGAAATGTCTGACAGTGTCTGTTTAGAGGATACGAAGAAGGGAGACATTTGTCGTTTATCCCAAACTGGATTTTCATGGCCTGGGAGACCATTTCACACTCACTTAGAACATTAATAATCAGATTTAATTGCATAATTTTCCACTCTCTGTTTAATACAGTACCCTGTGTTAGGAAACATGTAAAACATGTCAATGTGTGTCATTATTTGAAAATATCAATGACACCCACAAAGTAATCTTAACGTTATGTTTGTGGTAAGTCTTTGTCTAGTTAAGGGCATTACTACCATCTTGATGGTAACACCACTCTGTGGAATGGACACCTTATAGTTGGTGCCAATATCAGGTTTTTCCTGTTGGTGTTCTGTTATATTATGATGGAGAAGGGGTCGGTGGAGTAGCCCAGTTGTTAAAGTGTTCGCTTGTCAAAACCCGGGTTTGATTCTCCACATGGGTACCATGTGTGAAGCCCATTTCTGGTGTCCCCTGCTGTGATATTGCTGGAATATTGCTACAAGCAGCGTAAAACCCAACTCACTCACTATGATGAAAAAATAATTTGTCTACACAATAACATGACAATATTTTGGTTCACCAATCCACATATCTGACTTCCTACTCTTTGCCATTTTGTTGAATGCCCAATAGCTTTGTGCATGGCAGTAGTATTTGCTGTTAACAACACAGCTTAGACTGTTGTTTACAAATGCAGTATGAAAGTGTTTATGGAAAGAATCCAGTCATCTAAAAATTAGATGTTATTGATAATATACTACTCAAAAAAAAAACCAAAAAAAACCTTAATTGGAAGGCTTTGTGCTGTAATACCCATAACTTTCACAGATTATCTATAATCACAGGAACTAAAGTATGGCTATTTAGGTTATTTCGTGTGGAATATATCATGCATAGCAAGAGTGCCGATAGGATTATTATTGTTTTGCTGTTAAATATGGTATGGTGGAGATGACCTCTATGAAAACCCATCATTCCTCTCGCCATATCAAATGGGTACCACATGTCTCAGTGTGGCCATTATCAGGGAACGTTCAGAAGTAATTGGGGTGGGGTGGGGGATTGTACATTAAAACAATATGCTTAAAATGTATTTTTTTGGGGGTGGGGGTGTTCATTGATTTTGTACATGACATACAGTCAGTTACTTTGGACATAAATTTCAGGGAAGGGGGAAGAGAGAAGGTCACTGACTTTGTACATGCCTCTCCATAAAAATCATCTCTCTCACTCCCTCATTCACACTCCCAAGCGCGCGAGCGCACGCACACACACACACACCCACACACACCCTTAGCAAACCTTCAGAACACAAACAGGACAGGGGAACCTTACCACAAACAGGACAGGGGAACCTTACCACCAGAAGTTAATAATCAGCTGCAAAGACTTTTGCATTCTTGGAATTGTGAAAATATTTTTTTAGTAGTTGTAGAAGCCAGTCCAGCAAGGCAAAAATGATCATGACTATATTAATAGTTTCATTCACCATTTAATCATCTTTAAATCATCCATATTTTATTTCATGTTGAATTCTATAGATCTGTAGTGTTAATCAGAACATATCCAAGAGTGTGGTTGCCTTGTATTCTGTCAACTGTCAGGCCCAACAGATACTTCAATCAAACTTTTCAATTTTACCATATTTAGTCAATTTTTATGAGAAGAACTAAGAGAAATATGTTGGAACAAATATTTACATATTAATTTACATCAGTGTAATTTATGCATAATTTCTTCAATATTTTCTGTACGTTTTTAATATATTTACATTTGAAAAAATGAACATGTCAACACACATTGTACATAAACATTTATTGTGTGTGACAAGTTTGAATCACAAATGTGACTGAATTACTTGAAAGGCAGTTATGCATAATGTATGAATCGTTGAATTATTTTCTTATCGACTGTTCATCCTATTTTGTGTGGTTGGAGTTTAATCAAAATTTGTTCATCAGGATCTGTTTGGAAATTGACAGTGGATCTCAATTGTTTAAATCTGTTTGAATATGGTTTATATTTTGTTATTGTCTCATTGCAGTATACGTAATGACTATATCTGTGGTAAGGTACTGCACAGTGTTTGTGGATGGTGTCAAGTTCATGCTGTGATAAGGCAGGAGAAATGCTAAAAGCAGCAAAACCCAACTCACTCACTCACTTGTATTGCAATGTGTTGAGCCAAATGTGATGATGGGAAGAGTGAGAGACAGAAATCACTGTATCACCGAAGCACAGACTTGCTGACAACAGATCAATCAATTCAAAATTTGTTGAGACAAGAATATGGTGTTGTTGTTTTTTTTTAATTATTGATATTTCTTCAATAATTTATGGTATTTTATACAGAGGCTTAAACAGTTTGTTATTGATTGGCACAATAATTTGTACTGCATTAATTGAGTCTACTAGAATCTCAGACATTACTCAGGACTAATTTTGATGATACTTGAGACTTATGAATATGAAGTGTTGTTCACTAACATCATCCCGTTGCATTCCAGTGTAGTCTCTCATCAAGACGTAATATCTTGAATAAACTGTTGAATATTATGTATATCAGTACATAATGTCAGTATATATTTTATATAGAGAATATGGTATAACTTTATTTACACTAAGCTCATAATTGACCACAGTGTACATTAGGGATTAGTCAAAACATGTTTGAATGTTTGTTGTTGAATAAACTGCAATATAAATGAAGAGTTGAGCATCTTTTGTCTGCAAGAGTACCATAAATGACCTTGCATATATATACCTTTTTATCCCCCTGGCATATAATGGCATTTATATTTTTTTCTTCATTTCCATGGAAACAGTCGGGACTGGGTTTCAAAAGGAGGGGATGAATTTCGTTTCCGGACACCGAAGTACAATGAAGTACCCAATGCCATGTTGTTGTTTAGATAGCTCAATAACTATTCTCATACACGGATAGATTAATAATTCTCTCATCAAGTTGGACTTAAGTAACTGTCAGATGATTTGTTCTTTCAAAAAAAATTGGGGGGGGGGGGGATTTGTCATCATCTGATGACTCTTGTTTGCAAAAGTTGTCTACCAAATTGCAAGCTCCCCTAGTACAGAACATATTTATATTAGTTTTAGGCTACTGGTAGGGCTCTGATGGGTAGCAAAAATCAGACTCGAGTATCTGGGGGATAAAACCCGACCCAGACTTGAGTACCCGAAAATTATAGTATAAATTTGAGTGAGAGCTATGACACCTTTCCTTAAAACCTTTGACGAAACACAAACCTAATATCATTGACTTCTTTGACTAGCATTGGTCTATTTGGATGGATATCAGCGATATTCTCGCCTGTATGGCGATCCTTCATGCATCTAGTGGCAAGAATGCATGATTTTAGATCCTACTTGTCTGTGATGTAATGCCCTGTGACGATGATGTAACCGTGGGTGGCACAGCTGGTCCACATATAGTATGACCAGAAATTATTGAGAATTTTAGGAATATGTTTAATTGGATTTCTAGTATAAACAACCTTGACCAGCGATCAAGTGCTTGGTTTCATTCAAGAGAGACAACTCCGTTAATCCTTTTTCATTAGTTTGTGAAGAGTTATCCCCCTTTGTTTACTTGCTAGCAGACGACATTTTCAGTGATCCTCAGTATGGATGATTTAGAGAAGAGGAAGTTGATTTTAGAGTATTATAACAAGGACATCAGATCAGCTAAAGTGATTTCAAGTAGAACAGGCATCCCTTTGTCCACTGTTTATCGTGTTTTGCAAAATATTGCAAATGGATATGGCATTGAGCACCAGGGAGGCGCAGGTAGGCCCAGAAAATTGACTGTCGGTGACAGGAGGCGGCTTGGTATTCTTGTTTCTAAAAACAAACGAAAGAGTTTAGAAAACTTAAGGCTGGATAAGACTGATAGGGGAACTGTGGCTGTCTGTAAGGAGACAATTAGAACTGAGCTGCATGCAATGGGTTGGCAGAAAAGTCGAGGAATTCCATCACCGATCATGAAACCTGAACAAAAGGAGCGAAGGTTGAACTGGTGCTTACAGCATAGAAATTTTAACTGGGACAATGTGATTTTCTCAGATGAAAATTCTGAGTAGCTGTTTCCTAATACAGTGAAATTCTGGACCAAACAAACTGAAAAACCTTTGTATCAGCGCCTAAAGTACAATCCGAAATTTAACGTGTGGGGTGGCATATCTGTGTTAGGGGCAACGCCCATCTGTGTGTTTGAAGGGAATATAAACAGTGAGCGGTGCACAGATATTCTTGAGGGACATTTACTTCCATCTGCTCACGTGTTCTATGCAAATTTTTGGATTTTCCAGCAGAACAACGACCCAAAACATCGTTCAAAGCATTCACAGGCCTGGTTTCGGACCCAAAATATGACATTATTAGATTGGCCAAGCTATAGCCCTGACCTAAATCCAATAGAAAATGTTTGGGGACTTATGAAGGAAAGTGTCAAAAAGAAAAATCTGACAAATATTGCTGAAATGAAAGAAGAGGTGGTCCAATATTGGGACAGCATGGACCACAACTTTCTAACTTCTTTGATCGGTAGTATGCCCCGCCGCATTGAAGCCTGCATTGCTGCCCATGGTGACTTGACAAAATACTAACTGTTCACCTGTCTTTGAATTCGGAGTTATGTTCTGCTAATATTCACATTTAATACGTGAGTAATGAGTGATAAAAATTAAAAAATTACAATCTTTAAATTCTCAATAATTTCTGGTTGTACTGTATCTGTTGTCAAAGATCCGCCAGGGGACTGCTTTAAAATATCCTTAAGCTGAGTTTTGGTGTCGGCATATTCCTTCCTAAGATAATTATGGATGGTCTTTAGACATTGTACAATATAACTGGGATTCAATGAGTGACAAAAATCAATAAAACCATTACCTTTAACAAGGTTCAAAGGTCTGAGGTCTCTAACGCACATCATCATAGCCTTGCATGTGAGTGTCGCATATGTTTTTGAGTGAACCTTTTTGCGGTTGTAAAACACACACACACACACACACACCACCCAAATATCCCTGCATCAGCGTGGCTTGCTTTTTGACTGGATTTTTGGAAGAATCGTCCACACTAGCGGACTTGTATTTCATGTTAAGATGTTTTCTCATTGAGCTTGTTGAGCTCCCTGCATAACTCAGCATAATGCTGCTAAGGCGACACGTGGTTTTGTGTTTTGAAGTGTCAAGATCAAAATGGGCCCATACGTTCGACCTTTTCTCATCCATGACTGCACACGTGATCACGTTTTGTTTAAAGAGTTTGGAAACTCTTTGAGTTTTGGGCCATGTTTTGGTACTAGGGTTCTTTTCTCCAAATCATTTTCTGCCCCAGAATTCCCCAGAATTCAAGCAGGGTTTTCATTAACCTGTCCCATTTATCTGGCCAAATGCATGACTGCAAACAGACATGGTAGACCGTGTGAAAACCGTAACCCAGGACAGCTACATTTAGGTTCGTCACCTACAGCAAGAGACCACCACGACAACCTATTGAGCATCCACATTACCATCGTTGTTAGCCTAGATAGGGAGGCAGGAACAAAATGGTTCAAATTTAGCTGCACAAAAGTACCGAGATGAAATTCTACATACACATTATGCAGAGGGCAGTAGGTTAGCATAGCGGTTACAGCAATTACTTGTTACACCGAAGCCAAGGTTCAATTCCCTACATGGGTACAATGTGTGAGACCAGTTTCTGGTGTCGTTCCCCCCCCTCCCTTGACATTGCTAAAAGCAGTGTACAACCAGCTAACTCATGCAGACTGCAAACACTGATAATGCCAGACCACACATGACACAACTGATTACATTACATGACAACATTATTCAGGACAGATTTGTGGCAGGGGTTGGACAGACGTGACAGTGTCACCCACTGCTGCAGATGCAACAAACAATACAGCAGATTCAGCCAACACTACTACAGATTCAGCCAACACTGCTGCAGAATCAGCCAACACTACTACAGATTTAGCCAACACTGCTGCAGATTCAGCCAACACTGCTACAGATTCAGCCAACACTGCTACAGATTCAGCCAACACTACTACAGATTCAGCCAACACTGCTGTAGATTCAGCCAACACTGCTACAGATTCAGCCAACACTACTACAGATTCAGCCAACACTGCTGCAGAATCAGCCAACACTACTACAGATTTAGCCAACACTGCTGCAGATTCAGCCAACACTGCTGCAGATTCAGCCAACACTACTACAGATTCAGCCAACACTGCTACAGATTCAGCCAACACTGCTGCAGATTCAACCAACACTGCTACAGTTTCAACCAACACTACTACAGATTCAACCAACACTACTACAGATTCAGCAAACACTGCTACAGATTCAACCAACACTACCACAGATTCAGCCAACACTGCTGCAGATTCAGCCAACACTGCTGCAGAATCAGCCAACACTACTACAGATGCTACAAACACTGCTGCAGATTCAGCCAACACTGCTGCAGATTCAGCCAACACTCCTGCAGATGCAACAAACACTACAACAGATTCAGGCGACACTGCTACAGATTCAGCCAACACTCCTACAGATTCAGCCAACACTACTACAGATTCAGCCAACACTGCTGTAGATTCAGCCAACACTGCTGCAGATTCAACCAACACTGCTGCAGATTTAGCCAACACTACTACAGATTCAGCCAACACTCCTACAGATTCAGCCAACACTGCTACAGATTCAGCCAACACTACTACAGATTCAGCCAACACTGCTACAGATTCAACCAACACTACTACGGATTCAGCCAACACTCCTACAGATTCAGCCAACACTAATACAGATTCAGCCATAACTGCTACAGATTCAGCCAACACTACTACAGATTCAGCCAACACTAGTGCAGATTCAGCTACAGATTCAGCCAACACTGCTGCAGATTCAGCCAACACTGCTACAGATTCAGCCAACACTGCTACAGATTCAGCCAACACCCTACAGATTCAACCAACACTACTACAGATTCAGCCAACACTGCTACAGATTCAGCCAACACTACTACAGATTCAGCCAACACTGCTACAGATTCAGCCAACACTACTACAGATTCAACCAATACTGCTACAGATTCAGCCAACACTGCTGCAGATTCAACCAACACTCCTACAGATTCAGCCAACACTGCTACAGATTCAGCCAACACTACTACAGATTCAGCCAACACTGCTGCAGATTCAGCCAACACTACTACAGATTCAGCCAACACTACTACAGATTCAGCCAACACTCCTGCAGATTCAACAAACACTACTACAGATTCAACCAACACTACTACAGATTCAGCCAACACTCCTACAGATTCAGCCAACACTACTACAGAATCAGCCAACACTCCTGCAGATTCAACCAACACTACTACAGATTCAGCCAACACTACTACAGATTCAGCCAACACTGCTGCAGATTCAGCCAACACTACTACAGATTCAGCCAACACTACTACAGATTCAGCCAACACTCCTACAGATTCAGCCAACACTGCTGCAGATTCAACCAACACTCCTACAGATGCAACAAACACTACTACAGATTCAGCCAACACTACTACAGATTTAGCCAACACTGCTGCAGATTCAACCAACACTAATACAGATTCAGCCAACACTACTACAGATTCAGCCAACACTACTGCAGATTCAGCCAACACTACTACAGATT